AAAAAAAAAAAATCACTAAACTCTCTGAAGTCAAGTAGACCTAACATATGAAATGTATCAAGGAATTGAGAACAGTGCTATAAAAATAAAATAATTTTGATGAAATTTTCCCATCAGAGAATGCTAAGAACTTAAAACCATCAACCATAACAATTAAAGGGCAAGTGACAAAGTTGTGAAATGTTTGTAATATGGCAAAGGGTTCAAATAGTTATATATATATAAATCTTATTTATTAACTATGAAAATATTAACACAACAATGGAAAAACTGTCAAGGGACATGAAGGAATAATTTATAACATTATAATATGTATAATAAATATAAAAAATGTTTGACCTCACCAGTATTCATAGGACTGCAAATAAAGAGACTCCATTTTTAGAGATATGATAATATCTAGTGTTGTTAAAAGTGAAATGCTAGTTGGAAATATAAACTTATGTCTTCTTAGAAGGTAACTTAGCCACATTGCATCAAATACACAAGTGTTCATACCTTTTGACCTAGTAATTCTACTTTTAGGAATTTAAACTAAAGAAAAAATCAGAGATATAGATAAGCATTTGTATACTATGATATTTATTCCACATTTTTTCATTTGCTTATATACATTTACTTACCTCTGTTTTTATATGATAAACTGGAAGAAACCTAAACATACAACTTAACTATATTTAAATTATGGTACATTTATGCAACAGAATGTTATACAACTATTAGAAATTTTTGAAGAATGTTCAATGACATGGGAGAATACTTATGGCCTGTTCAGTAAATAAAACAATCTGTAATTACATAGAGCATAGGATCCCAATGTTATTTTTTAACGATGTGAAAGGAAATATACCAAAACGTTAAGTTGATTATCTCTGCATTTGGTATAACAAAGTTATTTTCATTTTATACTGTTTGCACTCATAACAAATTTATATTATAAGAGGTTTTTTAAGGATTTTTTTTTTTTTTTTTTTTAGTAAAAGGACATATGGAAAATGAGAGAAAAAGGTGAAAAAAAATTTTTTGGACTGCTCTTTTTAAAAACACTGAAATCACTTACCTGTGGTATACAGTCAGTGTATGCAAACATTGATTTGAAGCGGTCATCCATGCTTATGTGGTAAAGGACACACATTGCTATCTGTTTGTAGTTTTCATTGCCTATGAATAAGAAATCACGGAAATGGTGATTGATATTTATATGATTAAATTTTTTGGGATAAATCACTCCAATTAATGGATTAAAACTTTTAAACTACTGAATCAAATCCTTATGTAACCCTCTTCTAGAAATATTTCAAGCTCCCTATTTCAATTCCCAAGTCTGAAGCAAACTACCTGTGAAATATCTCTAGTTTCCAAAAGATAATGTGTATTTTGCAAGATACATTTTTGGATTAAAAACTAGGTCCAAACCTAAGAATTAATAATTTTCAGTAGCCCACTATATAATTGGCCTCCCCACCCTTATTTTTTTAAAATATAAAACTTGATGTAAGTTGTACTATATGGATATGGAAACATACAGTACCAACATCAAAGTTAAAAAAAAAAAAAAGTTATTAACGCTTTCCTATTGGGCTTTGCTATCCCAGAAGTACAGGCTTGGGAGAGTCGCCCTATGTTGCAAGGCTCGGCTCTCATAAGAACGCTTCATTCTTCTCTTGTTCTCATTGGGTTCTAAATTCCTTAACAAAGATAAGCTTGAGAAAAGGAAATCATCACAGTATAGATTACTGTCATTAGTGTATGCTCCTCTACCACCAATGCTGCCACCAACACTGTGAATCTCTCTTCCTTCTTTCCCGCTTCCTTGTGTGTGATAGAACTTAACTCCTCTCCTACAGTGAGAATGGTGGTGGAGAGGATGCGCTATGAAGATGATGAACGGACACAGAGAGAAGTCTGAGAATACTGAAGATGAGCCTCCCAATTAGCTACATGACTTCATGTATCTTTGGGGAGCATGTGCCAGGCAAACAAAACCTATAGGTGTTTCCCCCTCCCCCCATACTCCCTTCCCTCCAATTTGGGGTGAGCACAATTGAACAAAAGAAACTGGAATATGACTAGCACTACACCAGAGGTTTTTTTACCTTGAGGAAAGTGGGAAAGGAGGTGATGACAGATCTAAGGGACTACAATACTGTACTCAGAGGTCTATATAACCCAAGTTGCTGATACATTTTCTAGATTTTGTTTGGGTAAAGGTTCCCTAGAATTCAATCAATTGCTTTGCAAATACCTATAAAACTGATTTTCATCCCTTTCATATTTATTTAGGGAATGAAAAAGGGCATAAACTGACACTTGCTCTTTTATTCAGAAAAAAATGTAAATATTCCATAAATGGTCTTGTTACCCAGATGTTACTTTGATGCTTCTAATTCAAATCTTGTTACATGTCACCTTTCTTCTCTAAAGAAATGCAATATATGAATGAAGATTACAGCATATAAACCACAGGTACCTTATTCATCGATTCAATAATTATACAAATGATTAACTTTATAAAAATACAGCCTATAACTTTATGACATCTAGCAGATACCTGACAGCTGTGACAAAAGACAAAGTATTTTAGGACAAAAGTGAATACCTGGAGAGAGAAGTTGCCTAGAAATAACCTGAATTCATTTCTTCAAACACAGCTGCATACAGAAAGTAGAGGCTTTCTGGCTGCCAACATTTATTATTACTTAAAGGCTAATTTGCAGATCATGTAGCAATAAACAGCCAGTAAGAGAGATTAAATGGTCCAAGGAAAATAAGAGCTTATCCTTTATTATAAGCTAGTAATCTCCTTTATTCATTGAAAGAAAGGGTATCTTAGTTCTTAAAACATAAACCTAAAAAAAACCCCACCCCCCAACAATCTTGTATATCCTAAATTAATTCAAGGGGTTGGACGGTATGATTTTCTCCTAAGAATTCATGACGAAGAACCATAAACTCCAGCTAACCAGCTATGATTCCTCCACATCCTACAAATGGCAAGCATTTCAAAAGGGCTCCTTCAACACTTACAGACCTCAATTATTCCCTAACAGCATCCCAAGTAAAAACAGGCTGCCAATCGTCGGTGTGCTGGCAGAGCACCAAACGCCCTGTGAATTCTGAGCAGAGCAGGGAAAAGACTGAATATTTTGAGAAGTAGGCCTTAATGAGTAGAGGTGGATTAGTCAAATCTGTTCAAGTAATAAGGCCAGGGTGGAAAAAAAATGGCCTAGTCATTACGCTTCTTTTGGTATTTATGGTAATAAACATGAATCATGATGAACTCACTGGCTATTAAATGCAGAGGTCATAAGTACTTCGATAGGATTTCCACAGGAATTCACCGTTAATTAGCTGGATCATTATTTGAAAGTGTTCCTGAATTATCTTAGCAGTTGTGCAGCTATTCCCCCAAAATTGGTCATTCCCAGCTGAGGGCAGTTAATGCCTTAACAAACTGGTCATTAACTCCAGTAACTGATTTTGTGGGAATTACTGCACTTATAAAATACAGTCAAGAGGTTTTGTTTTTACTTCTTTCTTTCCAAAGAAATTTGCAGCTGTAGTTCAGCTGGAACAGCTGAAGGAGAAAAAAAAAATCAGCTCTCCGGGCTGCTCTCACGATCGATATTCTGCCAATTAAAGGGCAAACGCATGCTGATGGGTTCTGAATTTTAAAATGTCTTCAGTTTTTTCATTTCTGAAGTGATTAGTAAAAACATCATTTAGCCACTAATTTTGTAAGACACTTGGGATTTTCCATTCACAGTTCAGTCACGCAGAAATATGAGTTCTGAACACCAGAACTCGAGGCCAAATTTCCGCTTCTGCAATAGACCCAGCCCAACACTTTGTAAAAACAGAGTGAGAACACAAGTTATGGGCCACATCATTAGCCAGATTCTCATTCCCTCTACACTCCATGTCTTCGTTCAAAGTAGAAAGCTCCCTTTGAAGTCACAAAGGCTCCGTGAAAAGATAAAGAGAAGTGGGAATATAAGCACCCCTCTATTAGAATAGAGTAGCAGTAAGGTGACATATTACCCCTAGAAAGTCTATGTGAAGACAACATTCAAGAGTCATAACTGTCTTTAAGTTTCTTATAGAGTTAGAGCCCTTAAAGCTCTATCAATATAGTGAAATGCCACAGGCAAAACACCACTTAAAAAATAATTGCAACAGTTATTAAACACATATATTGAATATAGTGAAATATACTAAAAGTATACTGAAGGTACATTAGAACATCTTTGTTACTTTTCCACATAATTTTATGTTTAACTTATTAGAGCACATACTGCAGAGACATACCCAGTATAACCAGATAGCCTTAGTTAAAACTTGAAATTGGAGACAACAATTTTTAAGAATGCAACTACACTGGATAGTTTGCTATTTTATATTTGTTCACAGTCAAATCTAGTGAAAATTTGAGATAAATAGGTAAAAACCAAGAGTTTTTAACCATGAGTTGTGGGGGGAAAATGACAATTTACAAGTTACAGTGATCATTATGAAAAGAAGTATAACAACAGTTTTTTGATACAATGGTTCATGGATAAATGATATTATGTCCGATTAATTTAAAAACTATAAATCTACCATTAAGCTCAATAGCTCTGTTACAGTAATAGGCACTCACTAAGTAAGTATTCTAAAATCCAACACTGTTGATGCAGTTGCATTCTTTTTTTAGTATGTACAACTATACATTTTGCCATGTAGCTTATTTTTCAAATATTTTCAACATGTTTTCAGTTATTTTATTACCTTGTCTGTAGTATTCTTTTATTACATCCAGAGCATACCACAACAACTTCTTTATAATACACCCTACAAAATATGCATGCTTGTGGTACAAATGATAAAGACCAAAATAAAGCCCTTAACAATGCCTGCTTTCTAGCTTACGGGTCCCCATCATTGACTTAATGTGCTTTGGCCAGCCTTTACCATCTAGAAATGGAGACACCCCAGGCAATATTCACACACAGAGTATTGGAACCAGCTGGTGATAGAAGAATCTTAAGAAAAAAGGCTTCTTGATTTAATTGGGAAAACAGGAGGAAGCATAAATTTTACTGCCATTAATAACTTCAAGCAATCTTGATATGACTCTACCTCACCCTGACGGCTAGACATGTGCTTTTTGTTAAAGCGTTTGCCACATCTCACCCCTATTGTTTGCTCACTTGATCAGGTAAGAAAATGTAGGTTTATTTATAGGATAACGGGGCCTATTAAAATTGAGAAACAGTGCAGTGGTCTATGAGGACCTGCGTTCCAAAACAGATGTGTGAAATTCCATAACAGTTTTGTAATAAACAGGCTAAATGAAGTTATTAAAAAATCTACTTTAAGTTTCTTAAGGAAACCTTCTTAAAGGCAACCTAGTTAAAAAAAACCAAAACACCTCCTAATTGGAAAACATTATTCTGACAGTTTCCAAATAGTTTTTAATAATCAAGTCAGAAAAGGTCATTTATAAAATATTGCTCTCTTCACAAAATAAAGGAAAGCTTTATTTCTTCATTTTATGATGCTTCTGATAAATTAAAAATTAAGTCTTGATATGTAATGAAAAAACTAAATTTCATATTATGGAGAGGAATTTCAAAGGTGTTCAGAACTTAACTTTGCCAATTTTCTTTTAAGGACCTATGACAGAATGGTCAAAGAAAATAACCCTTAATCTTTAAGTGATCAAAGTTTAGAGTCCAACAGTATCTGCTCTGGCCATCTCCAACAATAAGGGAAATCAGACTTGTCTCAACAGGAAGAAATCAAACATTTATCACTTAACTCTTGACCTGGTCTGACTCCTGACATGCTGATAAAACCTTTCTACAGCCTTGGAAAACGTCCTGAAACCAGATTACCTAATGTAGTAGATCAAGATGAACCAGGTGCCATTCCTCCTCTCAAAACCACTCTGGGCCCCCTCCCAGGATACAGCGACATTTGTGTGAATTTAGAAAACCTCAGAAACTCAAATTTATCTTTCGGTGAAAAGAACGTAGTCTAATGTTACTCGGACTAAAATCTGGACCGTTTGTGAAATGACTCATGTGGGACTGTGAGGCAGGCATGACAGCACGCTACTGAACCTGGGAATCTTCATTTTCCTGCCATAACCGGCAACGCTAGCTGAAGCACAAATCGGC